TGTGGGGGGGCCCCCCCCCCCCCCCGTTCAGCAAGATCAGCCATGGGGGAACTGAGGCAGCACCAGTTTCCCATGATCAGGACTTTTCCATGCCACCATTTTTATTTACCTTCAAGTTTTATGCCATCCTAAGTGAAACGAGACGTTTTATTTATTTTTCAACAGGTTGTTCTGAATCCTCTTTGCTCCTTCCTTGCCTCCCCCAATATTGCCACCAGCAGGGAGAAAATGGACCAAAGAGGTTTTTTTTCCATATTGGCGATAGGTCTAGCCTGCTCCTGAAGATAGTTGTGCATTTTTTCATCTTTATGCACTGTGAGTAACTCTGTTTACCCAAGTAGGACAACTCACATTGCATAAAGGGAGTGCTAATGTATTGGAAAGGTTAGGGCCTTTTCTTGGAAGAACAAGTGCGCAATTTGTCTCTAAAGTTGGCCATCAGTATTAGCCATATCCTTTTGGATATTTAGGCCCACATGTTTAATGACCAATACCTATTTTTGTGAGGGTTTTTTTACCCTTTGTAGCTAGAAAAATGATTCAGCAAGTTCCGTCTATATTATCAACATTTATTTAAGAAAAAGCAAGTTATTTCTTTTGCATAGTATGCTGGGGAAGAAGCTAATTCAAGAACTCTGGTGTTGTCAGAACTTCTGAATCAGCACGTTTCCTCCACTTTTCCTTGTGGTTAGTAAAATTGGTAGTGTTGCAGAGAAGCAAAGAAGGGATTGCAATCAAGAACTGATAATTGTATAACTATCAAGAAAAGACTTGATTCTTTTCACTTTAGCATAATTTGAACAAGGTTGACATGAGTTAACCCATTATTTATATGGGTTTGGCTCATTATTTAAAAAAAATTTAACCTTTCACTGTTAATATCACAGAATGGAAAAAGCATGTGCATTTTCTTTTCTCTCTAGAGCATAGAAGTCAATGATCTTTTGGGCTCACAGGTAGAAGTTGACCGTTGTAAAGAAGAATGGGAAAAATGGAAGGCAAGTTCTGCAAAACATATATTCCTGTTCCCATTCAAGTCTCTCAAAACAATTTTTTCCCAAAGTGTATTTGTTTAAACCTATTTAATAGTGTTTTACATATTCTAGTTAAAATATACTAAACCACTTTTTCACGACAAAGGAACAGCTTGAAAAAGCTGAAAAGGCAAAAGCTGAACTCCTCCTTTCAAAATTAAGCTGTGATGCAAAGAAAGAGACAGCACAAGACATGCTGATAAAGTTGAGGGAAACAGAAGAGGAACAGCGTAAGGAGACTTTTATGATAATGAAAGACCACGAGGTAATGGAAAACTTTACCTATGGCTGTCAAAGTTTGGGGAACAAAAGTAGGGGTGCCCTTCATGGGCAATATATTTTTCTCCTTTCATGTTAAATATCCCTCCCAGATTACAGTTTGTAGGACCAGGAAATTTAGCACTTTTTATTATAATTCAGAACTGACATATTGATAAACACAGTAATGTTGAAGAAATGAAGGCAAAGTTAAGAGTTTTATCATTGTAGGTAGAAAAAGATGACTAGGAAAATTAATCTTCCAGGCCCAAGGGTGTTCACTGACTTCTTAGTTTTTACATTTTGCTGTTTAACTGCTCTGTCAGGTTATGCCATGAAAATTTTACATCAAAACTTCCCAACACATCTTATGAAAACTTATGACTCAGGAGAGTTAACCTAAGATATACTGCACTATCTGAATCTTGGTTATCTGAATAGATATTTTTGTTTTCCTAACTTTAAGTGTTGGAATTGGGTAACTGTTAACTTTTTAAGCCTAATACAGCACTGCAACATAAATTGATACAGTACTGTAACTTGTAACTATTAGTATTGTATATAGTTCTACAAACTTTATTTAACAGTAATTAATAGAGATACAGAAGTTTGATACAGTAACTTTTAATTGGCATTAGTACTGCATGACAAAATGTTCTCTTTAAATTTTATTGTATTAAATACCTCAGCTGTTAAGTTAAACATAATTTTACATGCTGCACCATGTCTGCTTCCTCACAATATCCTTACAGGTTCATTGTACAAATTATTTTAGTTACTGGAATGGCTTTCTGATGAGTGCTTTACAAGGGGTTTGAATACCTGAGGGTGTACTGTAATTTCAATTCATGTAATTTTTTTTTCAACAGAAAAACCTTGAAGTAGTAGAGCAACAAAATATTGAGTTAAAGAGAGAGATTCAGAAGCTCAAAGATAATCTTGCTGCAGTTAATTTAAAACTTGCTGAGATGAATTCAAAGTGTTCACAGGTTATTCAGGTAATTTCTATTTTATATATTTCACAATTCACCTTTCAAGTGGACACATTTTCATTCTGCATTACTAAACTCTGGGGGCCAGACTTTCAGCTACTGTTTAGGTCAACCTCCATTGACCTCCTTTTAAAATGTAGCTATTACTTTGCTTCTCTTCCTCTATTTGGCAAAATTAATGAATGTGAGGAGAACAAAGGACATAGAAATAAAGTAAAAGGGGGCCATATGAGCTATTGTGGGAAAATGTGGAGGAAAGCTCACAATTATTAAATGACAAAACTGGAAATAAGAATTTAAAAATGAATAAGATGTGAAAATTAGTAATTTTCAAACATTTGCATTTTATATCACCATCAGAAAAGTCACATTATAGAAGACACATCCTTTACAGGGAAAAACATATACTGTAAGTTTAGTTTTTGTCAGATAGCACTCGGCACAATTATCTCATGTCTTGCTTCCTATAATACAAACTAGGAATAACTCTATTTGCAGGCAACAGTTTCATATGTTAAATGATATAGTCAGGGTCAGAACTATGTTTTGACTTCTTTGTTGCGAATATTCATCATAGACTTGGTAAAAACTTGGAATTTAAGTTTTGCAGAATAATTTGACATTTTGAAATGTTTTCATACCAAATTTGAATGAAGACAAATATTTTTGGCAATATTTAGTGAAATGGGTATTATAAACAAATTCTGTTTTTAAAAACTCATTCCAGACTTTCAGAATTGTTTCAAATATTATTCTTTTGTACAGTACTATGTAAAACTATATATAGCAGTCCTTTCATTATTGAAGAGTTAGAGTCAATGCAACACAAACTTTTAACAAAGACTTTGTAATATCTGAATATGTACAATGTTCTGTGATTGGTGTTACAGATTCTACAAATCACTGTTCTGAACATGCAGACAGAAACTCTGTTTACTTTAGGGTGAATTTTGCTGCACAAGGACAAAGCTCTGGTTCAAATTTTATTGAGAAGAAAAAATAAAAAACTTGTTGGCTAAATTCTTAGTGAAATAACATGTACAATTGTGCTGAGATCATTAGAATTGCATCTGGTTATACTAGCATTAAATTTAACCCAATTGTGTATTTGCCTTTAAAAAAAAAAACTGAAGTGAAAGATGCATATGATATTTTTTCCAGTTGCTTCATGAATTACAACTTTTTTATTTCTTGTCTTGGTTCTAAAATCTTAGATTAAAAAAGAGGTCTCCAAAAAGAAAATGAAGTTTACAAAAATGGAAAATGCTGTTAACAATGACACGGTTTTGAATACCCACTGCCTTTGTTGTGTAGCTGCCAAAATTCCATTCAAATTGAAGCAAGGAGAAGCTCTTCTCACTTTTGAAGATGAAGATGGTATGATGCATATTTTCAATATAAATATTTGTGTGTTTCACTTTCATAGCAAGGGATTTGTGAAGTAAACATTTACTTTATTCTGAAAAAAAAATTCAGAATAAAGGCAACTATGCAGAAGATGTTTTGCAGTCAAGTCACTGATTCAGAATAGTTATACGTGTGCCAAGGTTAGTAACCCTTTGGGCTAGCATTGTTAAAACACACCAGCTGCAGTAGCCTAGAAGGGAGTGACGTAGAAAGCAATGTGTGTCCAGCCACCTATGATTTCTCAGTCTGAATGACCTGGTTTAAAGCCATGTCAAGTGGGCACAGCAGTTGCTCAAAGAGAGGCTTTGACTCACACTTCTGGAGTTTTCAGAGATGTCCTCATTCCCACTGATTTCTTTTTTAGTAATGCTAAAGGAGAGTTGTAGCTAAAAGGCACTGCATAGTAGCTTTACTCTTATGAAGTTTGATTATAGGATCACTGTCTGAAACTTCTTTTCCTTTGTAGTTGCCCAGAAACTAATAGAAAAAGGTACACATACTGTGAACCTGGACAATGGGAAGACTGAAGTGAAAGCCAAGCCTATTACACTAGAAACAGGAGTCAAATTTGAGGTAATTGACAAACTAATATGGAAACTTTTGAGATACTGGAATAGTGTACAGTATTTTTTATTTTAGCTACTGTATTTGTAACAGATGCAGAGTGCATAAAACAAATAAAAACTATTTTTCTTAGCTTCATGTGATCATTTCTGGGAAGAAGATCAATGTATCTGAGGTACCAGATCTGCTAATACCTGACGAATGGATGAGAGACAAATTGGAACTAAATTTTTACAAATCGAAAGGAGGAGGAGGAGAAGTAGAGAATGTGGAATATGACAGAATTTCAAGAACAGCTGTCATCACATTCCTCAGACCTGGAGGTATTTTGTTTTGTTAGCTAAAGTTTTAGAGAGCTGGATTCTCCACTCATCTACATTGTAGTAGCGTGCACTGTTGACTTCAGCTGAATTATTCTTGATTTACTTTCAGTGAGGAGAGACTCATGCTCATAGTTCTGTAACCAAGCTGTATTTAATTACATTCTTTTCAGGTAAAAAACTTGATATTCAGTTTGTAAGTTTTGATATTTACTTGTATCTCAAAATCTATTCTTTCTTTGCATCACTGGACCGCTTTACTGGAAAAAAGTGGGAAAATATGTTTGGCTTTACTTTTCATTTCATGTTAATGTTATTGAAAATTTGACTAGATCTTCAGCTGGTGTGAGCAAGTAAAGGACTGCTAATATCAGTGGAGCTGCATCTGTTCATATCCACAGTGGACTTGTTCCACAAGTTTTTACTAAACACTTAATCAAGGATTTTATCATGAATTACATATAAGTTTTATATAAACGGATCAGATTATTACCTGATGCACTTGCAAAATAAGTCTTAGAATTTAATATTTATTTCTCATGTTCTAATTCTTTTTTTCCAGTTGCTGATAACATTTTGAGACACACAAAACATCCTTTCCAGTTAGATGGAAGACGACGCTCTGTTTCTGTTTCTGTTTCCCCAGTCATAGAAAAGCATTTAGAAAAGTTTCAGGTAAATTAATGAGTAAACAAGCTATGCTCTGGGACTGGGTGATGTAGACACAACCTTCTTGGTAACAGAGTTGCGAGGAAGCTGCTGTTGCTCTCAGCTTTGTAACAAGAGGGAATTTCCTATGAGTTGTTTTTCCAGTGATGATTCTAGGACTTGTAAAGGGACGCAAAAGAGACCAGCTTTTTTATCATGTTCTAGTACTGCAACAGCAATGCGCTTCAATGTCTATGTTAGTATAGACATCTATAACAGCCATAAAGCAGTAAGATGTGTCAATATAAACAGGCTACCACTTATAGCACTGATTCAACCCACTGTTGATAGTTTTAGCTGGTCGATGGAGCATCGGGTATGTTTAGACGAGTGATTCTCAACCAGGATGCTGTGGGAACCTTTTAAGAGTGCCATGTGATGTTAGCACTGTTACGTGTGCAATGGAGCCATGTTGATTTATTTCTGCTGAGATCTTGACCAGCTGTTATTTATAATAAGGAATTTACGACAGACAGGCTAAAGAGGACTGAATAAAGGAGTCTGACACTATAAGGTTCAAACCCTCCATTGATTTTTTTTTTTTTTTTTTTTTTTTTCCTCTTCAGTGGCAGACCTGGAACATAGTAAAAATACAAAGGTGAAAGCCAAGTTGATAGCAATATCTTCATCTGTACCACCATTTTTATTATGTATATCTATCAGTGATTTAATGTTTAATACCTGACATTATTCAGCAATTTTTTTATTTTATTTTATTTATTTTTTTCTCACCAGGCTTATTTTGGGATTTCTACAAGGACCATCCTACTCTCAGGAATTCAAGAGGTTGTGGAAGATGAGGAAAGCACACAGGACATCATTGAGATACATTTTCAGAAGCAAAGCAATGGAGGCGGGGAAATTGAGAATATCACATACGTATCAAACCAAACCAAGCAAGTCTGTTTTGAGGAGGATGTTGGGAAAGTTGCGTGAAGTACAGCAAATGGAGCCTTAACCTTTGCCAGACGCTTCATATTATCAGGGAGACATTTGGCAGAAATATAGCTTTTATAAAAATTATGCTTTCTAGCCTTATACATTTACTCTTGAAATGGAGCTGCCCTTTCGGTCTCTTTGTTTGTGATGGCAAACTCCTTTTGATCTTGAGAGCAGAACTGTCTGAAACTCAGTGAACCAGGTTTGCAGAGGTTCTTTGCATGTGCCAAGAACAAATTTCACACATGGCTGAGATATTCATTACAAAACTCATATGAAACCTTAGTTTGCCTTGTATACATGATTTTGTCAAAACCATAAATATTACAAATGCTTCAAACCTGAGCCCAGGCTACCTTCTGCAAATCTGACCGAGCTTCAGATTGGTAATAAAGCCACAAATGAATTAGACTTACCCTGACTTTGTCAGGAAAACTTTGCACAACTCTGCAGAAAAGTGCCTTTAGTTTTATATACTTGTTTTAACTAGCTACATTGGATAGCTCAGTTGACTCCCAACCTGATAAGGGTCTTGGGTGCTCCTGTAGTCCAAAGTATTATTTTGTAATTACATAAGATTTTTGTATCACATGACAGCAATTAAGAAAGTAAAATACTACAAACATGTTTATTATCTGGAAGGAAGGAGAATATACAGAAATGGCACCAGTTTATTCAACATGTTGGCACCTTCCTGGGCTATATTATGCTGTAGGGAACGGTACCAGAGCTGATTTGGTCTGCTTTTGACCCTTTTGAAATGCCATTATTTCTTCTAGGACCTGATCAAACTCTGAACTCTTAGCTCGTATCAGTTCTGCATCCTCTGCCTCCTCTCTGTCTGAAGGCTGTATTGCTTTTTGACAGGTCTTTTTCATGAACATTTGTATTGACAATTATACTGTTCCTTGATCATGCTCATTATGCTGCCTAATTTAAAAATACCCAGATGCTAGCTAAGAATATGACCTGGGCGTCATTTATTTTATGACTACATTAACACAATCAGCTTGTGAACATCACCGATGGATTTTAGTCTGCGTGACCTGTGCCAAACTACCACCCTTACAATGGAGGGTGTATGGAGAAGGTTAATTGAGGGTCACATGGAGAGCAGGACAAATTATGTCTTCAGTATTCTTGAACTAGAGACAAAAATATCTGCCATATGAGCAATTAGCTTTAACCCGTAAGGCACAATAAAATCACACTCCAGTTCAAAACAAAAAACTACAATATGTTGTACAGGGAAAGGTGGATAAAAGCACAGTTCAGATATAAGCAGCACGTTGGCAGGAAACTGAATTTTTTTGGTTGTAAAGCATGCAACAATGGAAATTAATTCCATTTAACATAGTCAATTTCATGAAATTCTTGAACATGATTTACTTTCTTGGTTTAAAGGATCTTACTGTGCAAATGCAATTCTGTGTTGTTCTCGTGTAGGAAAGGTATTAACAATATACTCCAACTATTGTAATTGTAATCACATTTAGGTTGAACATTCATAACAACTTAAATATCAAACTATCTAGAGAGCAAAAAAAGATGAGTATTGCTGATATTGATTTGCAACTGCTGTGTTAGGAGATTTGTGTGTTTACAGCTCCACTTACTGTTTGGTGCCTGCAAAGCGCTTATAGTGATTATACTAGCAACAAACATGAAGTGAATAATAAATAAAGTTATATGAATATGGAATGACTAGGGGAGGCCTGTATGCTTTGCTTACAAGCTTGAAAAATTTAATGCTATTCAGATCAGGTGCCCTAAACTGCAAAGAAAAAATGCATGAAGACTAGTAACTCTTGATATTTACACTATATCTCACTGATAAGCGTTGAGATATAAATCCTTAGAGAATAAGATTTAAATAGATGGTCTAATAAAGCTTATTGCTAGTGGGGCTAGTGAAAAGCTGCCCAACGTAAAACTCAGGTGATTTTTTTTGTGAGTAATCTTAAGAATCATAGTATTTGTGAATTTCTCATTTTGTACTTGATCTGTTGGTTATTCTTTTAAAGTATGAAACAGTCAAGTAAAGATGCCATATAAAGGTTGTTTTAATACAATAAAATGTTGCTATTTCTTTGCATTAGATACAGTTTCTGCCTATAACATAAAATTATACATGGGTAATAAATTACACACTTTGACAATATATTGGTAAAAGCATTGTTCCAAAATTTTCCCCTATGTGATGCAGTAAGAGTTAGAATTTATATTCTGTGGGCTGAAGTGTGCTAGAGAGGACAGCTGTTCAAAATTCCTTTGAGGAGAAGCCTTGGCTAGAGTGATAGTCTTATCTTGCATCTTTGGGACACATCTACATTCCACATCCCTGATCCCAATTGGTAAGTTTTGAGTCAAGCCTCGTACCTTGGCCTGCTCTGCTGCTGCTCAGCTACTGTGGAGGTTTGGGTGGGGAGGCTCCTGATACTGTTACACCTTTCCTTACCTATGTAGACCTAGGCAGAGTTTGGCCCAGAAGAGGTGTAGAATTTGAGCAAAGAAACTTATTTTCTATTTGAATACTAAGGGGAATGGATCTTTGGATACCTTCTTGGTAGATAAACAGGAATTGATCAAAGAAGTACCAGGCTGCCATCTGTTTCTCTTCCTGATGGGGAAAAATGAGCCTCAAGAATGGCTCGATGCTTGGATTAAAAAAGTTAAAAACTCTAAAATCCTTGGGAACATTTACTCTGTCAGTGGGGGCCAGCCTTTTTGGCAGGCATGCCACAAATTGGCCCCAGAGCCTTTGCAATTGCCACTCCAATTTTTTGCCCAATCTGTTGCTCTGCTTTCTGCCTTGTCTGCCACTAGGATCCCTGCTCTCTCCCTGCTGGGCTGCATGTGGCACGTGCGCTGCAGGTTGGTTATCCCTGATCTGCGTGGAAGGTAAGGAGCCCAGGGCTCTCTTGGAGATGATATGGTGTAGCTCGTTGTTCTTGGCCACACTCTTAGATAAGTTGTTTGTGAATAGGGTACTGATTCTGTCATCCATGGCTGCCCTTCAGTAGTTTTCCAGAAGCCTGCATAGATGCGTTTAAAGTATGGATCGGGGGTTACTACAACACAAAAATCTAATACTATAGTTTGCTTTCTTTTTAATTTGACTGCAGCAAAACTTAGCAGAACAGGAGAGGGCACCCTAATCCATCGCTATCCCTGTTACCCATACCATAAAAGCAGGACCGCATTCATACTGCTGTTCTAGAATTTAAAACATGCCGATCAAACTAGATGATACAGCTGATTCCACAATTCAATAATAATACAAGGGAAATACTAATTCCCATCTTCCATTGAAAAGTGCTTTGAGATCTAAAGATGAAAAGCCTTCCATGAGCTTTTGGTATCGTGATCTGAGAAAATGGCTTTAGGCCTCTGAATTTAGCAACTGAACTGGGAGGCTGAATCATCTCCAAAACAATCTGATATGTACTATGGTGCTAATATGGGCTATGATGCTAGATCTACCTCTCCATCTCTACCAGGGCCTATTGCACTCTGCAACAAACAGGGTCCAGCCGAAGTAAGAACTCACCTGTTTCTAAATGATCACTTCGGATCTTGTTGCACATTGCACTTTGAACATTTGACCTGGTCATCAGTGTTACTGCTAGCTCCAGTTCGGTGCAGTCACACCTTTGAGGCTAAAAACCTTCTTGGACTGTCCCTCACCCGCACAGCGGTGACTTGGCCCTGGAGGGCTGGCAGGCAGGGGTCTGACTAGGAGCTGCAGCGGCGACCTGTCAAGGGCTTTGCTCTAGGTAGGGGCGGGTTGTGCGGTGGGAACATGAAGCTGGGAGGGGTAATGAAATGAGAGGCGGAAAGGACACGGCGGTGTGAGAGAGGCGGTGAAAAGAAGCCTGCCCCTGAGGAGAGAACGATGGAAAAAACGTTAACGGAGAACTGAGGAGGAAGGAAGTGAACGGGGTCATGTGTTGATGCGCTGGGATGGCGGCGCGCGGCGCGGGTCGTGCCTGCCAGGGCGGCTGAGACGGGGAAGGCGGCACCGAGCGGCGCCCGCCCTCGCTCCCGGGCCGGGGCGGGGCTGCGGGGAAACGAAAGCGGCTCCGGGCGCGGACATGGCAAGTGACTGCTCCCCCGCCGGGGCCCTCGTGCTCGG